CATTGCTAAATAAACGAACATTCTTTTCTTTATGGACATACAGTATACTCGCGTAATTATCCTCTATATCACACCTCACCTCATCCCCAATGAATGATTTTTGACGTTCGATATAGGACATCATCCATTATTAGGTCAATGTGCACAAATACATAAGATGGCACGACTACTCCAGTTATTCGAGATTTATGGAGTGACCGCCTACTTCGCGGGACATAATCATGTATTACAGTATAAAGCACCCGGCAAATTTTCACCGGTGGCGCAATTCATCTCCGGAGCAGGATCGAAAACAGGTACGGCATGTGAAGGTGGGGATTGGGGTATGCCCAAGGGGACTTTTGGCTTCCTGCGTGTGACAGTGAGACATGAGGATAAGTCGGAGTTTGAATTTATCGACGCCACAACATTAGATAACCCTGGGGGTGATTCGGTATACACGGCGATCGTGAATGCAAGTTCTTATTGGTATCCAAAATAGAGGGAACACGAATGATGTTAAAAAGTTGAGAGTGAGGAACGGAATCGAAGTCGAAAACACGACGACGGATAAAAATGCCCCTCAATAGAGTCCACGATAGATTAATCGCATCCACGTGAATAAGTCACCTGGTTATTAATTAAGTCCGTCCAAATTTAAACTGACCCACGCGAAATAAAAAACAGGTTCGATGTGATATAGAGGATAATTACGCGAGTATACTGTATGTCCATAAAGAAAAGAATGTTCGTTTATTTAGCAATGTAAAGAATAAAAAAATTTATTCTTGACTTCTTCACGGTGCTTCGAGCTTGATCTGGATACCGCAAAGTGCGGATAGCACCGAAGTTTTAATGTTACAGAGCTAACTTGTGAACTGCCTGGCTGCATAAATGCATTAGGCATAAAAGGAAAAAGAGTCGACCCGTCAATGCTCCTCCAAGGTTGAAATGGGTTGAGTCTCGTGATACTACCTTGTATCACATTTACTCTTTGACCGCAGTTACGTAATAAAAGCTAGGATTAGTCTATTGCTCTCACATATTCCTTTTTCCTCATCGACGCTTTTATTTTCTTAAGGAATTCATAAAACAATGGGCAAAGGATCTCTCTCTCCAACACTTGCAGTCATAAAACATGTGGTCGTGGTACTAAATTTCTTGTCGCTGGTACTTTTTATCTTTGATTTTTTCGATTTTCTTTTACATCGAATAAAGCTCGTGAAAAAAACGGTGATTTTCCTGTCTTTTTTATATAATACAAATAATTACCTGACATTTTAGCTTGCGGGAATTATTCTTATCACCACTGGTGAGTATTTGCGAACCAGTAATTGCAATTCACTTAACCTGTTCTTCTCCTGTTTGCTCATACGTAATTTAACCTTACTGCGCCGCGACGAAATGACTGTAGGATACTATCTTTACGGTGCACAATCTGAAATCACTCACGTAACATCGTCCACCCTTAGTTATAACTTCGCGTATGCTCTCATCACGATTGGTGGTTTCATATCTTTGGTCAGCTTTCTTGGTAAGATAAAATTTCACACCTTTTTCGCGAACCCAAGTTCATGCTCACTGACGTACGATGAATGGATAGGCTGTTACGGCGCTGCCGATGAAAAAATCGGATTCCTGAAGGTTTATGTGGTGTTATTGTTCTTATTAATGGTATCTCAGATAGGTATGGTTGGCGCCAACTTTTCTTTCCTTTTTTTTTTTTTATTAAGCATTCGCTTTTCGTGTGATTAACAACATCGCAAATTCTAGTCGTCGGTAGCTTTGCATTTGCTTATCGTCAAGATGTGAGTGCCTATTTGCTTTCTTCCACGGTCCGAGAAATGTAAAACATTAAAAAATTTTTCGTTTCAACAAATGTGAAGGTCGACTACATTCTTGATAAATCATGGTCAAAAGCATTCTTAGAAGAACCACAATTATTAAGAGATGTAGAAGACTATTTCCAATGTTGTGGTTTCAACTCAACCAAAGATCGGGTTGTTCAACCGTGTCGATATTATAACCCGTGTCATGAAATGATGAAGGATTCTTTGAGATATAGTTTACAAACCATCGGAATTGTCGGTGTCGTGTTGGGCGCCATGGAGGTATGTTCGTGCGATGCGTTGATAACCCATGAATTTTTACGAGCTTTTCCGTGTTAACACTTGTGCTCCGTAGCTCCTCTGCTTATTGTTGGCGGTCATTTTGTTCATTCACATAATGTCGGTTCATCGTCTCGAGGAGCCCGAAGAAGAAAGACGAGCTTTATTGGATGAAACGCGTAGGCTCGATGCGGAAATACGCGAAACTTACCAACGCAGAAGAGCACACTTTGGATAAAATATGATTTCTTTGTCTTTATATATAAAAAAAAAAAAAAAAATTCATATTTACAAAATACTGCTTGGATGTTTTCTTTTCTCCGAAATTTGGTAGTAAAAGAAAAAAAAAATAAAATAAAATAAAAGACGACGTCGACAATTGATATGATCTCATTTATTTATCATTCACGGCTTTAATGTATGACTTGCAGTGTACGCTGATGAAACGAACCAAGACAGCGCAATTATGTCGCTTTCCTCCTACCACCAGGAGGAGGTCATCAAACTTAATGACTCCTCTCGTCGGCAAACATTGTAAATAACAAGGTTTTGAAAACGCACGCGATTAAAAATACCAAAACACTCGAACAGATTTGAGGATACATTCGTTCTTTTCCTCTCTTTGGTAAAATGAGTCGACCCGAAATTCGGGAACGCTAAATTCTATAGGTGGTGACCGGCCGCTCCAGAACTATCGTATATGTCGCGTGCATTAAACAGATGAAATAAATGCCTGCCTGTGTTTAAAAACATGTTATGAATGACGCAATAGGATTTTCGTCGTTTTATTTGGACCTTCGGTGTTTAAAGAACTGATAAACATGGAATAGTATATATACGCATAAAAAACTTAGTTGAATAACACATTAACCCATCTTCTCAAGATGGATGACACAAATTGGGGTAAACTGAAACTTCCCGAATTGAAATCTAAATGTAAAGAGTTGGGATTGTACGTCAGCGGAACGAAGAAAGTATTAGTTGAACGAATTCAAAATTATTACGCATCAAACAACAATTCTGCGAATGGCGTTAATAATTCAAACACTGGCGTTTTACACGTTATTCCTGAGAGTAAAAGTAGCATTGACCTATCAATACAAATTTCTCCGGAGGATGTACCTCAGAACAATGAGGTGAAATCGACCCAAGGGAACCAGAAGGAATTTAATGAAAATGAATCAAACAAGCTGATGACGTTGAACATCAATCCGGTGCCGCGCCTTGATAGTGCCCTTAATGGTTGCGTTCACGAATCAAAGTTGGCGATTCATGATGATGATGCGAAAAGGGTATCCTCGCGACCACGACCTCTTCTCCTACACCCAACACAGGTGAATGGGAAACTTATTGACAAAGTTATCGTCACTAAGAACAACACCGGGATTTCACCGAAAAAATCCTTACGGGATATCCCTACTAGTATCGGAATTCGGTCGATAAAATCAAAGCGAAAGAAGTTGAATCTCATTGTTCGAAGACCGGAAATTACGAGCGAGAAGATGCCATCTCCTGAAGGAAGAAGGTCAGGGGGATTGAGTTATCATAGTCAAGAACCTTCAGGACCTGTGCTTTTCCCAATGTCATCTCAACCACGTATAACAGAGACACAACATCGTGAGATGGTTGCTTTGAGGTTGTGTCTAGAAAGGACGGATTCTCAAACCGTTTTAAAAGCGGAGAAGGTTTGTAGATTCTGGCAGTATGCTGGTATGTTTCCTTTTTCAATCCGTAAGTTTCGTTGTGCGAACTATTCCAGACATTGGAGTAAATATTCTTTATTAAAAAAAAAAAAAAGCTCTGCACGCCTGGAGAGAACTTTGCAAACAGGACTTTCCGGGTGGCCTGCTTGAAAACGTGCTCCAACAAAATCCAAATCCATCAACTTCCTTGAAATTCTATTATAAAAGGCGTTTGGAAATTAAAAATCATAACATCACATTAATCTCCCGTAATTGGATCGGGCGACTTTATGAGAACCTCGGTCACACTCCGTTCAACCAACCATCATCTCTTGAGAAGTCCAACATTTACGGAATTGACAGGAACCTTTACTCAAGTAACGATCATCCCTATCAATTTTTCGTGACATTGAGATTCTGGATCGCGAGATTTTACTATTATACTCAATGCGGTGGATATGAAGGATTACTTGAAAACATGCCAAATATTGAACGGGTTGTACCATACATCGATGGAGTTTGGAAAGTAAAACTGGATAATAGTGAGGACGAATTTGTGATTCTAGGCGACACCGGCGAAGTCATTGGACACGAGAATATTGGGAATAATGGTGACCCTCGTCGAGAACAAAAAGAGGAGAAGCAAAAGGACGGTTGGGCTATTGCTTGTGAGATTCGGAATGAGATTATAATAAATGAAAACGAAAGAATAAAAGACTCCATGAGAGCGGATTGGGCATCCTACATTTCCCTTCAACTCCATGGCCAAGACGTCGCCAACAATTCTGCCAATATTACTGCTGCCATGGACACATTACCATCAATAATTGATAATTTACCAGCCTCATTAATTGGCAAGGTGATAACCGAGAATCCCAACTACCCACACTCAATTCATAAACATATTACTCCCGAAAATGATCCGATAAAATATACATACGCCGCAAGGTATGTGCTATCAAATGTTGAGCCATTCACCATCTCAGGAACTCCAGAGACGGTGCCACATCCGAAAGTAGCCAAATTATTGGCATTTAAACACTCGTTGGCAGAATGCGTCGAAGAAATCCGATTTCGAGAAACAATATGGAAGAAAATCAGAACCACGATCTTTGGAGAGACTATGCGCGAGGTGGTTCTAAGTGAGAGTGTCTGTTTTGTGCAGACTACATCTAGAGGGGTGTTCGTGTTAAAGGATACCGGACAGGTAATCGGAACCGAGGTAAGAAAGATGAACTTCGATTTAAAATGTGGATTTATGCCTATTAATTTACTCTTTACTATGCTAATAATAGGATGACGGCATTAATTACATGTGGCAAATGATACTAGGATGTGGGTTTCATGGTGAGAGAATCGATGATCCTCGAGAAGATATGGTGAAACAATATTTCCCGGAAATTCAGAAGTAGGCTTCTCACGTAAAACTCTTTGTAATAAAAATAATAATCGTTTATTACGTTTAAAATACGCATCCTCCTTGAACGCATATCCAATTAATTTTTTATATGGTATATTTATCTGTATAAAACCGTTTTACTGCAATTTAAACGACTTTTTAACACACATTGGGTAATCCATTTTGATGATGATAAAGAATGCTGTCATTTTGAGAGTGAATGAGAACCCTGAAAAAGAAATGCGGTTTAAAAATAGTTAATCGCAAGACAAATTTTAAACGAGATCTTCATAGGAATGGGCTCTCATAGCCATGTATAGATTTATTGATCTCAAAAATCAATTGTTGTATAATAATACCAAACCAAACTTCAATGATATACTAGTCAAATTTTAGGTTTTAGCCTATAACATACACTACACACAAAAGCTCGTATCATAATAATAAGATAGTAAATTGATTTACAACTATTTTCAAAAATTAAACATTTAAACATTAAAAAAAATACTATAAATAATAATTTAAATCAATAAATCAATTTTAAGCTCAAAATCTATAAAATCTATAAAAATTTATTTATTTAATAATATAGTTTTTTTTTTTTTTCCGCGTTGTCCATAGTCAGGCTAGACTATCTGTTTATTAATCAATTGAATGCAAAAGTATATATTCACTCAAGCTATATGATACGTATTGTAGCTAAACATAATATCAAATTTAATTAACTTGTTATAAATATAAAGTCTCTAAGTTTGACCTTGAAAATAATATTTCGCTTTATGATCAACTTTGAATAAATATTCTTTTAATATATATATTATTATCAACAAATTGTTACTACCTTACATTCTATTATCAGATTACTAAAGTATGAAAAACTATATAAGTGTTGAATTAAAAAAAAAAAGAAGGATATATAAAAAATGCATAAAAAAAATATGATGAAAGAGAAAATGAAAGAAAAAAAAATTTTTTTTTATTTAGCTTTCTTTAAAGATATTTTAATATTTTTTTTTAAATGCTAGCTTATCCATGCATTATAGCAACATTTTATTTTAATAAAGATCATATCTAAAAACAATCGAATGAATAATTATCCATACTGTCTAAAGATTTACAGATCAATAAATAGTACATAGAGCTAATTATTTACATCTCACCCTATTAAAATAGAGTAACTACATAACCATCTAGTCTAGGTATTTCTCTTTACTACAACAAACTAACTAGATATCAAAATTTGAATATCTAGACCTAAATACATTACAACACTCTCTAGGTCTTGAATCCATTAAATCCAGGCCTATTGAGTAGCTTATCACTATTCCTTAAAAAGGAGTATTAATGTATCAAGAATTCATCTAAGATACCCAATATTACCAATGTTGGGATCCCTTATATAAAGCCTTAACTCTACTAGTATTAAAAAATTTTTTTTAAAAGGAGAGAGAGGTATGTATTAATCTTGTCTAATGAATATTGATAATTGGTATTATTATTGTTTGTTTACAATGAAGAAATAGATATATCAAAATTCTCCAAAAAGATAATACTCAAGTTATCAGTTTCCATTAATTGAATAGAAGATAAGGGAGTTATTATTTATCTAATATTTTTTTTTTTTTTTTTTAATTTTAAAACTGACTCATTCCATACTTTCTTCAATACTTTATTAAGAAAAGATCATATTTAGCAACAATTGGAATAAATACTTTCCCATACTGTCTAAGAATTTACAGATTGCTAGAGAGAAATAGAATAAGGAGCTATTTATTTTATGACTCAATCTATGTCTAACCTAATCAGAATAAGAAAAATACATGACTATTTAATGTAAATACTTCTCTTTTAAAAACAAAGTAGAGAACAAGTGAGATACACAAATTGTGCATTACTTATCCATCCCCATATTCAGGAATTGACATTATCTAGAATATACTAATGCACCCACTGATTGATTTGTTGCTATCTACTAATGGGACCTAACATGCCAGAACTTGCACAAAAGTTCCAATACCATCTGATATTGGGGATCTCTTGTATTAGTCTTGCGACTAGTTAGTGTTAAAAAAAAAATTAAAATGGAGAGAAAAGGTTGAAAATATTTATAAGAAAATGAAATAAGGGAAGGAATGAAGGGATGCTTAACAACTACTTATCCATCCAACTTTGCCTCTGGAGTTAATGAAAGAAAGGAGATCACAATCCATGTAATATTTATTCACCTGCACAACTAGTCAGTAACTTATAATAGACCTAAGGTTCTTATAGAGCTTAGGAAATGCATTCATGTCTCATGTTACGTGTATCCTTATTTACATTTCTGTTAATTATGGAACAACCAATCTCAGACTTCAGCCAATCAATCCATCCAAAATATAGTGTAACAGAAAATTTAGAATCAAGCTAAAGTAGATAAAATTTATCAGAAAAATCAAGAAAACTACTATACGCTGAGAGAGAAGCCATTTTTATCTATAGTATTGATATTTACCTGTTGACTGGCATGGAGTTGTTGGTTCAAACTTTTTTCTAAACTCTGGAACCTTCATAAGAAAGAGAGGAAGGATACTTTTTCATCTAGTTTCTTCTTTCTAGAAAAGTTTTTTTGTCATTAATTTTTTAGATGTAAGGTTTGTGAAGAGAAAAGATAAACAAGAAGGATATAGTATGACTACTGCCAAGTGAAGCAGGTGTTTTTAAGGAGAGTTTTGAAGTTTTATTACTCTCAAAACATAAAGTTTTG